CTGCAATAATCTCATAATCTCACAAATCGATCCTCTACACATTAGGGGGGGGTTTATTAGTTTATATATATGCAGCCAATCAAATTACAGTAATAGCTACATACATTGATGAGGTTCCTTCTCTTATAGTACAGCAGGTTAGTCCACCAGGTATAACTAGAGTGTAGACACCAAATTATCCTCTTTGAGGTAGCTTCTATCACCCAGTAACTGGTGCACATAATCTTGCATCCTCGTCTTGACCTTTAGTTTGAGGCGATTTCGCGTTCTAACCGGGTCACCCTATATCCTGACATTAATGGCCATAAATGATAGATAATGGGTTTCGGATAGACTTAACTTGAATTGTAGACATCGTGTTGGAGATGGTACCTTTGGTTTCCATAACACTACGTCCAAGTAAATTTAACAGGAGCCGAATTTGCTCCCGTGTGAGCCTCTGGTCTCAATAAACAACAATGGCTCCCTCCTTCCTCCCTGACGCCTGGCCTACTTTGTCCAGATTTCAGAAAGTGATAGAAGGGTCACATTTACTCTACTTTAATATTGATAATTAAGTTAATTTATATAAGATGTTTTTATGATGGTAAAGTCCAAAGACTAATGTATTTAAGAATAATTCCCAGCAGAATAGCTGGTGAATTATAATGGTATGTGGTGATGATATCCCGTTTTCTTTAGATGGTAATTCCACTACAAGTTACGTTTTCTATGGGTAACTTGTTGGTAATACAGTTATTATCTGTATGATTATTAAATGGTGTCGGATTTTCCGACACCACATGGCCAGCTGGCTACCTACACACACCACATGGCCAGCTGGCTACCTACACACACCACATGGCCAGCTGGCTACCTACACACACCACATGGCCAGCTGGCTACCTTCACACACCACATGGCCAGCTGGCTACCTTCACACACCACATAGCCAGCTGGCCACGTACACACACCACATAGCCAGCTGGCCACGTACACACACACCGCATGGGGCAGCAGTTGTGATGGGGGAGCAGAGACAGTAGCAGCCCTACCTGGTGAGGGCGTGAGGGGTGAGGTTGGGCAGCCCGGGTGGTGTGGGCCCCGCCGTCCGCCCGACACTGATCCTGTTTGTACAGTTGTCACTGTGAACAGCTCAGCCATCACGGTGCTGGGAGGGGCAATGTTACATGTGCTCGCGCTCTCTGCTTGTCATGCCCCGAAATTATATCCAAGCTACCTAGCCCATCCCCCTAAATCCCCTCCTCTCTCTCTCATCCCGGGCCCCCTTCTTCATCCTGCCTCCCCTACCCTTATCCTTCCCCCCGCCCTCCTTAACTCCTCCCTTTATAAGTCTGAGAAGTTCACATGCTCCCATACTCGTTGTATCTATAGTGAATTGTGTGAGGGGTTTGTCACTACAATAACTGCCTTCTACAAGGAGCCTCGATGACATATTTTGGACCAACAATGATTCGTCATATTGTTTGTCAAAGAGATATATTCTGTACATGTGCCAATAACAGAGGTTGTTGGGCATGCATGCTGACGTTGTCATCACATAGTGCTGACGCCAGCAGGAGCCAGAATGATGGGAGCATCACAGCATGCTGAGGCCAGCAGGAGCCAGAATGACGGGAGCATCACAGCATGCTGACGCCAGCAGGAGCCAGAATGATGGGAGCATCACAGCATGCTGACGCCAGCAGGAGCCAGAATGATGGGAGCATCACAGCATGCTGACGCCAGCAGCTGTTGGCTATTATAACAAGACTCATTGCGGCGCTGAAGTTCTCCCATGCTATCAGTAACAATATCTGGCTCTTGTGTGTGTGAGTTTAGCCTCCGAGTTGAGTGACCAATGACAACTTGTGACACCGTGTGGACCAGTAACAGTGTGAAGCATGCAGGCTACACGAGCATCGCAGTACACAACAATTTACACAGCTGTACTTGTCACACTTCTTGACCACTTTCACAGACTGGGACATTATCGACTCTTTATAATATGTTGTTATTCAAGACCCCGAGCACCACGGGGCCTTAACCCTGGCCTCGGGTCCTTCACTTGTACAACATCAACTCACACATGCAAATCATATATATATATATATATATATATATATATATATATATATATATATATATATATATATATATATATATATATATATATAAGTTTCCGGTCATTGTCGGTTGCAAGTGGTGCATCAACACTGATCTCGGGTCATTGTGGATCTGGTGGGCTTCATAATGTACACACACACATACATACATTAGGTGAGGATAAAGAACCAGAGCTCAAGCCCCGCAAGCATAACTAGGTTGGTACAACTAGGTGAGTGAGTAGGTACACATGTGCGTGTGTACATGGACGTGTGAATATGTATATGCATATGTAATATTAGCAACTGTATACAACTAGCTTCACAAGATTATCACTTGCTTAGCTAAATGCCAAAGTTTATACAGCCTGGGAGGCTACCAGGCTATAGGGAGAGTCATAACCCCTGAAGTTGTTACTTATAACCCCTTCACTGCTCGTCAGCCCAACCCCCTCTACTTTACCCTCTCAATATCTTCCCCCTCACCCCCCCCCCCTTGTGATGAATGTACTACACCCTCCCTCATCGTTGAGCAGCCCCCCGCCCCCCTCGGAGGCAGCAGGTGGGGGGTGTATTATGTGCGGAGCGGCCTCAGCGTTTCATCGTATTCCGCGTGACGGGACGCTGGTGATGGGCCGGGCGGGTCCTCACGAAGGGAGCGGCCCTCGTGCCCTCGGGGCCCCCACCACCACACTCGTCAAAGCATCGCATTATCATATCCAAACAGAGATATCGGTAACAAAATGGCGATGCCCTGAGGAGCAGTAGACCAGGGTGGTGAGGGCGGGGACGGGCAGTTGGACACCGACCAGCCCGCCAAACTCTTCCGCCGCGGCCATAACATCAAGAAAAACAAATTTAAATTTATACAAAATATGAAATATCTTGAACTTGTAATCAGCTGAGCGTCTCTTAGATATGATAAAAAAAATTCTCGTGGGCTGTCAGTATTATGGTGTATGAGTGTGTATGTTTGAGTGTGTGTTGAGAGGTCGGGCGGCCATTAGGAGCGGGAGCGACACAGTAACGCCCTCTGGTAATGCTTTCATCGCTAATGGTATTATCCGGTTATTAAGAAGGGATGTTCCCATGCACTTTTGTCTCCCTTTTTTCACCCCTCTTCAAACAGACGCCATCAATGGTCGGATTTGAAGATCCCGCGAGTATCAGGCCAATCACAGCACGCCGCTGCTTTCAGAACTGGCCAATCACAGCACGCTACAGCTTTCAAAACTGGCAAATCACAGCACGCCACAGCTTTAAAAATTGGCAAATCACAGCACGCCACAGCTTTCAAAACTGGCAAATCACAGCACGCCGGACCTCACAAAACTGGCCGCTCGATACAAAAGAATTGGCCAATCTCAACACAGCGAGGCTCACAGAACTGGCCAATCACAGTATCCTGAAACCCATAGAATTGGCCAGTTATACAGTACGCCGTGTCCCAAAAAACTGGTCAATCACGGCACGCCGAGGACCGCAGAATTTTCCAATCACAGCATGCAGGGGGCCAAGAACGGGCCAATCACAACATGCAGGGGACCAGAACAGACCAATCACAGCACACATAGGCCAAGAACTGGCCAACCACAGTATACCGGGGCCTAGAAACTTTCCTTATCATATTCATCCGTTTTCTTTTTATCTGAGTTTCAGTGAATCTTTCCACATTCATATTAAACAGCAGTGTCCAGTCATTAGAACTGCCTTTAGAAACTTGTGTAAGGAATCATTTAGAACCTTGTATACCACATATGTAAGACCAATCCTGGAGTATGCAGCTCTAGCATGGAAACCCATACTTTGTTAACCCAAACGTATGCCACTAGAATGGTCCCAGAACTACGATATACGAGGGAAAAGCTGCGTGAGCTGCACCTCACGTCGCTGGAACACAGAAGAGTTCGGAGAGACATGATCACTGCATACAAAATTCTCAGGGGAATTGATAGGATAGATAATGACATTATATAGCACGGGTGGTACACGCACAAGGGGACACAGGTGGAAGCTGAGTAATGACCAACAGAAATATTAAAAAAAAAAAACTTTTTCAGTGTTAGTAAAAGTAGTTAGTAAATGGAATGCATTAGAAAGTGATGTGGTGGAGGCAGACTCCATACACAGTTTCAAATGTTGATATGATTTCAATAGACGTTCAGAGTTCAATAGCCTCGGGAACCTGTCACCAGTAGATTGACAGTTGAGAGGTGGGACCAAAGAGCCAGAGCTCAACCCTTCCCCCTCCCACAAGCACAACTAGGTCAGTACACCCACACTGGGTCACACACAATGTTATACTCTCTCATTTGCCTTAATGTTCGTCACTATTTGTTTACTTCCGTCCATCGGGGAAGTTATACTGTGGAAACTGACGTCAACCGAGTTATAAAAGTATAAAGCTGACACTCCTCTCTAGTACTCCCACCTTGGCATCACTGGACCCCAATTCAGCACAGTGAGGATGCACTGGCTTCGTAATATAGTTAATGTGGATGATATTTAGAGTAAAACAAAGAACTGGCGCATGTGTGTGCTTGGGAAAACTTGGCTAATAAGTCTTAGCTAGAAGTGTTTCATAGACTCCAGCACCAGTGTCATCTCTGATAGAACTATAATTAATTTAAATTGAACATTCCTCAGAGTTTTCTATATTAATTTGTGTACTGGTGTCTTGGTCATCTTCACCTCACGGTGTCAGATGCGAGGTTATATCTCTAGGCTCATGACGGCGCTGTACTTGCCGTGCCATATTGATGTGATGTGTAATATTTGTGGATAATTCCTTGTCCAGGTTCCTAAAGTTGGGACAGAATTATTGCTATTTACTCTCCTTGATAATGTTGAAGTTAAAGTTTCCAATATCAGTGACCGCCTGGCTCTGTTATGTTGACACATTTGTATTTTCCGCAGGTGAAGCTGACGAGACGTTCATCTGTCCGTACTGCCGGGCGGAGCTGGTGTCCCGGGAGCAGTTGGAGGAGCACCGGGTGGCGTGTGGTAGAGAACCAGCAGTCCTGCCGGTGCCCGACACGCCCCGCGCCCACCACCCTGACGCCGACCACCCAGACGAGCTCCGGCGTCACCAGGACGTAGCCAACAACAACCAGGCGCACATCCTCAAGGCCAGAGCGGCCCACGAGGCTACACCAGAGTCCCGGGAGTCCTCTGTCGATCGTAATAATGGCTACGACAGTAGCGACAGTAGTCCTGCGGACCCTTTGGCACAGATTAGACACCTCCTGGCGCGATCACCCGCTCCGCCACAGGTAGGACCAATTGCGCAGCAGCTGGCGCAGTCTAATCTTGCGCTGGAAGCTATACAGAACACTAGGATGGCTCTCGCTCAGTTTGCAACCTCTGCCTTGAACTCCTCGAGCACCAACAACCCTCAAGCAATGCAAGAATTTGCTCTGCTTCAGGGAACGCTTTACACGCTGCAGCACCAACAAATGATGCAGTTGCAGCTTATACAACAACTCCAGGCACAACTTTCCATCAAGAATAAGGAAGGAAGCCCTGGCCTACCAAACTTTTCAGATAGTGAATCAAAAGGCCCAGGTGAGATCCAGGAACGTCAGGAGCCTCCATCCCCGCCCACACCAGTATCCAGACCCTCAGCACCACCAACAAGTGAAGGCAGCCAGAATGTTAGCAGCTCCTTCATCAGCACCCTCATGGAAAGATTTAAGGTACCTCCAAGTAGTGACAGTAATAGCGAGCGCCCACCAGGAAACTCGCCCCTGTGTACAGCAAGCACCAGTGGGCCACCCCCAGATCCACGCGACAGACCCATCTCTCCACCCATGACAGCATCCAGCATCGCCTCCTCTGTTATTCAACACACGGACCCACCACCGCCAGATGAACCCAACACGCTAGAGATGCTGCAGCGCACTGCCAACAGTGTCCTCAACAGTGCCTCACAAGGGCTCCTGACCAATCGCCTAATCGACGATCACAAGCCCAGTGATGGAAAAGACCCTTACTACAAGCACCGTTGCCGATATTGTGGCAAGGTCTTTGGCAGTGACTCAGCCCTCCAAATTCATATCAGATCCCACACCGGAGAACGCCCATTTAAATGTAATATATGTGGCAACAGGTTTACCACAAAAGGAAATCTAAAGGTGCATTTTCAGCGCCATGCAAGTCGGTTCCCTCACGTTAAAATGAACCCACATCCGGTTCCTGAACATCTGGACAAATTCCATCCACCTCTATTAGCCCAGCTCGGAGAGCTGAAGGACTATCCTTCACCTCCAACTGGGCCTCCAAATCCTTTCACTTCCTTACCGGGAGGTCCTTCCCTACCTCCATACCGGTTACCAGGCCCACCTCCATCTCTAGACCTACACAGACCTTTCAACCTTCTTAACCTCGCTAGACAAGGAAGAGAAGACGAACCAGAGAACCTAAGCATCTCCGAGTCTCGATCGTCGCCCGGACCAGTCCAGCGAGATTTTAATACCGACAAAATGGAATCTACCACAATGGACTTGGCTGACACTTTGCGACTTCCAAAATTTGAAGAGAAAATAGAAAAGGATGACGAAACAGAACCAAACGATATAGTCGAAATGTCGGAGGAAAGAGAGACCAGTGAAACACGTTTCAGCGGTGAAAAACCGTTCGATGATGATCAAGGATTTGACGGTGATAAATCCTTTGATGGTGAAAAGTCATTTGATGGTGAGAAATCCATTGACGGTGAGAAAAGATTCGAGAATGAGAACAATTTTGACAGTGAAAAGAGATTTGAAGATGAAAAGAGTTTTGAAGATGAAAAGAGATTCGACAGTGAAAAGTGTTTCGACAGGGAAAGGAGGTATAGCGATGAAAAAAGATTTGACGACGATAAAAAATTTAACGAAGATAATAGGTTCGACGACGACAACACATTTGAAAGCGAATCAAAGTTCGAGAGCGAGAACCGACTCGAAAACGAGAGGGAGCCATCTAAGGAGAGGTTCATTGACTCTCAGGAGATGAGGAACTTAATAGAGAGGAGGAGCAGTGAGCGAGAGCTGAACCCGGAGCAAGCACCACTGGACATCAGAGTTCGAACTGAAAGAGAACTCAAGGACACTATTGATGGAAACAGCAGTACCAAAGAAGAGCATGATATGGACAGCAGTGATTCACGGTCAATCACTTCAGAACAACCAACTGACCTCAGGATGCGACCAGAATTTCGTCCAATTGGGATGCCAACTATTCCTTTCTCAGGACCAAGGCTTCCTCTCAACTTTCCTTTTCTTCCTGGACTTCCTACCTCATTCCCGGGACCCATGGGCCCCCCTCCGACCATTAATATTCCCCCAGGAATAGACCCCGCCAAAGATCCTCATATTTACACTAACCTTCTACCCAAGCCTGGCAGTACAGACAACTCTTGGGAGGCACTCATTGAGGTCCAGAAAACTAGTGAAACCATGAAATTAGAACAATTAGTAAATAATATTGAAAATAAACTAACAGATCCAAACCAGTGCGTTATTTGCCATAGAGTTCTCTCCTGCAAATCTGCTTTACAAATGCACTACAGAACACACACTGGAGAAAGACCTTTTAAGTGTAAAATTTGTGGGCGAGCGTTTACTACTAAAGGTAACCTGAAGACACACATGGGGGTGCATCGTGCCAAACCACCAATGAGAATGTTGCACCAGTGTCCTGTATGTCACAAGAAGTACACAAATGCTTTAGTTCTGCAGCAACATATCAGGCAGCACACAGGGGAACCCACAGACCTCAGTCCCGAGCAGATCGCTGCAGCTGAAGTCCGGGACTATCCACACCTCCACACTCCAACATCCCTCCCACAGCTGATGCCCGCAGGCTTCCCGCTCCCACCGCCTCCACTTCAGGGCTTCCCTCCACTGCCTCTGCATTTGAGATACCAGCTCTCCCCCGAGGCCCTCAGGCACCGGGAAATGATTGAAAATGAGGATCGTAATACAGAAGAAGAGAAATATCTTCGGCCCTTCAGCACGTCTTCGAGATCCTCGTCAACAGGTAGTGCTGAACAGCGGACAGCAGAGGACCTGACTGTGCGATCACGAGAAGACAGCTTCAACGGTATGACATCACCTAGGGCCTCTGTGTCTCCTACTCCTTCAGATTATTCAGATCTGGGCGAGAGATCTCATGATGCCCCTGGTGGCGACAGTCAAATTTCCCCCACAGATCACATTAGTGGCTCTGTCAGCCCGGCGGTTAGTACAGGAAGTCAAGAGGGAGGAGCTTCCTTACCGCTGGACCTGGCGGCCCGTCCTCACCCACACCTGTACTCGCCCTTCGGTCTCTTTCCGCCTCCCTTGACGACAGCGGCCATGACGCCAGGCACACACACCATGCCAGGACTCAACCCACTCTACCTGCCCAGCATGCCAGGTACAGCACTCAGCATTAGCGTGTGTCAGCCCAGTGCCGCCATCATACTCACTGCTAGCACATGCTTTTCGCTCTTTCCTCTACATTTTGACATAACTTCACATTTATGATGTAATTACGCAATAATTGTCACTAACAGATTCTGTAAGTAACTTCTGCCAAAAAATCTAGTTTCCATTTTCTACCACAGGTCGCGGAAACACTACTTGTCATATCTGTTTCAAGACGTTTGCTTGTCAGTCAGCACTGGAGATCCACATCCGCTCGCACACCAAGGAACGACCGTTCAAATGCAACATATGCGACCGTGGCTTCTCCACTAAGGTGAGGAAACGACTTGAGTTCTCGGCCACATAATAGGCCTAAAGCTAAAGCCCATAAAGTTGAATTTACACAGTTGATTCAAGAATAATTCCATGCCATATTCTCAACGTACTGTCTACTAATGGGCAAGGCATACGCTAGTATTATTACAATATCGCAGTTTTGTTGATAGCAATGCATGTTGAATTTAGCGATAAGTGTGGTCTTCTCCTGCAGGGGAACATGAAGCAACATATGCTGACCCACAAGATACGGGACGGCTGCCGTGACGCCCTCCAAGACTCCTGTAAGGCCAACGGCAGTTCCTCTGGTGCTGAGGCGCCCTCCGTGTCTCCTTCGCTGGCATCGCCTCTCCCCTCATCTCTTACATCTCCACTCCCGCCTTCACTAGCCTCCCCTCTTCCCTCGTCGTTGACGTCCCCTCTCCCCGCCACAGTTGCCTCCCCTCTACCACCATCCCTGCCCCCAGCTGCAGTGGCGGCTGCGCTCCTCCACCAGGCAAGAGAAGAAGAAAAGATGGTAGACTCCAGATTGAAGAGAGAACGGGAAGGGGAGAACACTTTGCCAGTGCCCAAGCGAGCCTCAGGTGAGACGCTCTACCCTCCAAAATTTCACTTTTTTGTCATCTACGTCTGAGCATACATGGCCGTGTGATTGTGCACATATGTGTTTATTAATGTGTAATTATGCGTGCCTGGTTGTGAAATTTGGTACATGACTATGTGATTTTGGCGCAGATATGTGATTTCGCATGTATTCGTGCACGCCGGCGGCTCACATCAATAACCTTGTTGACCAGACCACACACTAGAAGGTGAAGAGACGACGACGTTTCGGTCCGTCCTGGACCATTCTCAAATCGACTTGCAAATGGTCCAGGACGGACCGAAACGTCGTCGTCCCTTCACCTTCTAATGTGTGTTCTGGTCAACATACTTTAGCCACGTTATTGTGACTCCTCGCCTGGATCAGTAACCTTATTTGGCTTGTTACAGGTGCTGGCGGCGAAGGTGATATCCTGGAGGTGGGGTCCCCGTCAGGAGACCTCCAGCAGCAGCCCACACCCGACTCCGCCCCCTGCCCCTCCCCCGTGCCGGAGGTCATGCCCTTACCCAGGACGTGATCCATGCCACTCTTGTATGTAAGTTAGTCAGTGTCCGTGAACATCGTCGTGTTGATTGGTGTTATTCATTCAGAACATTAATGTCATGTTTGGCGCCTGCACGGAGTGTACAAACCTGTTTGAAATGATTTAAATATTCATTAACGCTAAACGTTTCGTTCTCTCTCTCTGTCTCTCTCTCTCTGTCTCTCTCTCTCTCTCTCTCTCTCTCTCTCTCTCTCTCTCTCTCTCTCTCTCTCTCTCTCTCTCTCTCTCTCTCTCTCTCTCTCTCTCTCTCTCTCTCTCTCTCTTTCTCTCTCTCTTATTCATGTATATATATATATATATATATATATATATATATATATATATATATATATATATATATATATATATTATATATATATATATATATTATATATATAAATATACAATATTATATATTGTATATTTATATATATATTTATATTTATATTAACCTGTGTATGGGATACAAGTAGAGAGCTTATAGATGTAGTGACTGAGCTGTCTTGTCCTCGAGGATATTTCAACCATCCACAACTTGTGTCAAGAACACACTCCCTGTTGTTCCTTCTGCGTCTTCTGTAATCTATAACTCTGTCCTCTGGTTCTCCTTGTTTATGGTTTTATAAACTTCTCTGCTTTTAATGTGATGCTATATATAAATTTTTGATGTTGTTGTCATATCCACTCTCTTCTCTCTTTCAATGTGAACATTTCCGGAACATTTAATCTTCCATTGTGGCTCAGATATTTCCGGAATTAATGTCATTGTTTACATTGGACTTTATATATTTGTTTAATATACGTGTTTAGAGGATGACAGTGAGGCCACAGCTGCTGCTTGCCCCAGTTTAGGTCTGGTTTACCTGGTGCTCTGGTGGTAGAGTATTACTTTGGTTTACACCCCCTTCTCCCACCTCTCTCTCCCCCTCGCATCGCTCTCTCCCCCTCCCACCCCTCTCTCTTCCCTTCTCCTCCCACTTCTTTCTTCTCCCACTTTCTACATAACATGTTTATCCGGTGTAAATAACTTCGCTAATACAATATTATGAAAATTATGAAACAATCAATCGATCAATTCATCCATGATGGGCGGTTCAGTTCGTTTAGTCTGTCCTTGTAACACGAAGCAAAAAGTCAAGAAATCCTTGTCAAAAATAAAGATTCTGAACTGATAACAAAGCTGTGAATTAGGTTCAGGGGGGGGGGGGGAACTTGGCACTTGGAATGTGTATTGGGGAAGGCATTATAGGAGCTGCCTCGTATGGGCCAATAGGCCTTCTGCAGTTGCCTTTGTTCTTATGTTCTTATCATTAACTTAATCTTGATGGTGGAGCAAACAACTTGACCACTTTTCTGTACTCACAGCATAACTATATATGAGTTGCAAGGCCCAAGATGCTCTTCTCACATCAATCACCTGCTACACTCATCATGATTCTCATACACATTTATTAATCATACTTGCACATAATATGTCTAAACACTCCCAAATGTGTGCACACTGACACGCCTTTAGTCCTCACACACACACACACACACACACACACACACACACACACACACACACACACACACACACACACACACGACATTGAGCGACATGCATCATATACTAATGTTTATATAACATACTTACAAATGCTTTTATTTTTCAGGGCAGAGGTGGGCCCGGTGCAGTAGTTCGTCTGCCGCCGACGTGGCCCCCTTGGCTCTACAAGTGACCTCCCCTCTCATGGCGCCCCCCACGCCCCCCTTACCCCTCCCTACCCCCGCCCTAACTCCCTCCCCCTCCCCCAACAAACGCCCCGAATCTGATGCGACATATTCAAGCTGTCCCTCCCTAATATTCCCCGAGTCTTGTCAAGCAGACTTCACGAATCTAACGAGAGTATTCCATCTGGAGTGCAACCTAGGTTGCTCCTTGGGTGCACGACTACCAAAATCCTTGGGTGCTATCTGCCATATTCCTGGGGTGCCATCTGCCATACTCCTTGAGTGTCCCCTGCCATACTCCTGGAGTGCTGCCTGTCATGCAGGAGTACTGCTCACAGTGCTGGAAAGCGACGTACTACACTTCTGGAGTGCCACTTCTCTAGCTTCACCCATTTCCAGTCCTCAGCTACTTATCTTATACCTGAAGCTATCCCAGTGAAGACGTAGCGAAGTAGTGTAGTCCCTGCGTGACCTTCCTTGTAGTGTGAGACGGTCTGACCTCAGTGCTCGAGTTCCGCAAGTGTGGTGCCACGGGCTTGGCTGCTTGACCCCCGGAAATTGTGACCTCTGAGTTGTGTCGAAGACTTGGTGTAATTTGGTTATGACCAAAGGTATACCAGTGATTGCGGTATTAAAATATATATATAGTGTGTAATAGATCAGTAACTGACAAGACCTTCCTGTACAGAATGTAAAAATAAAACAAAAATCGAGACGCCGAACATGTTGTAAGCAAGAATCTGTGAGATTTTTGGGCTGGAGCTGAGGTGGGCGTGTCCCGCACTAACTCTTGGTCGCTGGAGAGACGCGCCGCCCTCATCAGGCGACCTGTTGACTTGTACACAAGTTAGTTTTGTTGATAACTGTGAATGGTGTCGTACATAGAACAAATATTCTTGTATGATGTGTAAAGATCTCATTTCCATGCTGTTATAGACTCATTATTTAAATGTTCATGTTAATTTATCATTATAATTATGTATCAAATCATTTTTCAATGTCCACTGTATGTGAAAATTGTTTTTATAAGTCAGTACCCAGCACATCAGCTCCGGCAAATGCTTGTGACATTTTGTACCGATCCCTATACATCCACCGTAGTTCCTCGCCAGTCTAGTCTTACAGTCTCACTTGGTTGATCCCGTCTTGCTCTACCCACCACCACCATTCCCTGGGCTAAGATAAACACCTCAGAATGACGCATACCTCAACCTGTCCTTAACTAACCCTCCACAAACCCGACTTGCACAGCGTAGAGGAGTAAAGTGCCGGATGAACCAAGCCAGACTATTAGGTATGCAAATGTCACATGTTTTGACCAATGACTGTGGTGCCAAGGAAGTGACTGAGGACCAACAGTGTCAGTGAGCTCATCGCTTACAACTCTGGTCCGCTGGTGCCACACGTAGCCAAGCTATTAATTAACAGCCTTCTGTTGAACAATGTTTCAAGGTCACTTGGTAAATCTGGTGTTTTTTTACGATGTACTGCAATATATTAGAAATGGGCATTTAGACAAAACATGATATTCTCTGTGATAATATAGTCGATTTGCTTACACTGGGCTAGATTTCCGTTGTAGTTTGAAGTGATAACAAAATGAAATGGTATCCTGATATTGGCTGAGGGCAAGCAGTGGGCAGGCCTCCCGTCATTACCAGGCCTGTCAGCCAGTCAATCATACACGCCTCCCTGAAGCTGGTCGGTCAAATAGTGGAACTGCGTCTAGTGGAAAATGAAGCAATCATGCTATGAAAGACGACACTCGCATGGCTAACCGGTTCCACCCCAGGTTCCTCCTCCCTATGCCCCCTGTGATTAATGGGCTGCAGCTCCCTGTAGTAACATCAACATAAACTGCTGTTGGCCAGTAACAAGGACTGACCCCTGCTGTGCATGACGTAATGAGGCTAAAACTGCTGCTGAACATTGCGCAGTAGAGATGTGCTACTGCAGTAAATTGTTCAGCAGGGACAAAGTATACTGCATTGTATCACCACAGTTGCGGTGTAGCGAGTAGTGGGAGTGTGTTGGCCAGCATGCATGTTGCACACGAAGATTACTGTTGCTACTACATGGCAAGCAGCGGAGACGAACAAGCTGTGGTCCAGCAGGCTCTTGACACAAACTGCTGCTAGCTTTCCCAGTGGTCATGAATGTTTAAGCGCAATTATTATATGCTGGAATGTTTCTTCCTCTCTGGAACCCTCCTTTTTTGGTTGTGTGTGTATTTGAAGATATTCCAATATTGTGTATCACAACATAACATATGGATTCAGGTTTGCCTCATGACATATCTTGGCGAGGGGAGTCAGGAGCTTGATCTGTATATTCTGCTGGCGTCGTTGCTCTCGACACCCTTGACCACACCTACCCAATGAGCAAGACCCTGTACCCAGCTCGCCTCTTACGACCCCTCGAAGACGCATTCTTAACCACTACAACAACACTTGACCCTTGACAACACTAACACCCACTCAGAACATACTGCTACTCGACACAGCAACAGGCCGGCGAGGTGTGGGGTGATGACCCATGGCAACAGCTGGTGTTGGTCCATGGTCCTGGTCCATGGTACCATAAACCTGGTCCATGGTCTTTACCAGAGCCGCCAGTGCCGCCAACAACACCAGCAGAACACCTCGACTTACCTCAGTAGCTCCTCTTCCCGCGAGCTGCAGCACCAGTTGAGTCATCTTGCTACTCACCCTCGCAACACATGTAAACAAACATTTAACTCCAGTTTTTGTACAATTTTAATGGATTTTAGAAAATTAGTTTTCTCGCTTTTCTATGAGGTAAAATGTATGTAGTGTCTGTAAAAATGATGTTTAGATAAAGGCATATATATATAATATCAGTTGACGAGTTGTAGATAAAAATTTGACACTTTCACATATGGAGAAGCTAAGTTTGTATAGCTTAGAGCACGGCCATGCATGTTTGCTAAATATTTATCATATCAGATCTTTACTTATGTGTGTATGAGTGGAACAGATGCTGTCAGAGGGTTCAAGGGGATCAGGTTAAGGCTAGATTTAAGGAGTAGCTGTAATTATAGACGGCTTACAAATTGTCCTACCATACCATACCATTTTGTGTTGACCTCGCGGAGACTTGTCAACGAGTTGCTCCGCGGCTGAGCTATGACACAAGACTCATCAAGACCGCCACTTGGTCCTTGTTATATTGTATCTATCTTCCAGGGCGCGGCTCAGTGACGCCCCCTGGGTGTATGTCTGTGATACGGCCGAGCTGACCGCGCCAAGGTGAAGTCATTCCAGTGCCATGCTCAGCAAACCCGGCCTCACGATAAACTGTTTAAGTTTACCCTGCACCAGTTCAGAGAAAATGGGCACTACTCTCACATTTCGGCTAGGAAAACTTTGAATAGAGTGCAACTTAATGATGCTTTCTATATTGGTTGAGTTGTGATGTGTCGGTCATCTAGCCTGGATATATTCCTACACCTTCCCTGTGTTACTAGTACTGGACCTGTAGAATAATATTGTTATTTTGATATGTGTGTGCACACCTGATTCGCTATAACTGCACGTCTCCGCCCAGGAGCACAGGAGAGGCTATTTTTGTACTATTCTATGATAGCAGTTCCCGGGCGAAGACCTGCCACCCAACTCTCCTACAAACGTGACGGAGTGTGCGACGGCCCTAGTTGTAAAGCCAGTTTGTCAGCAGCATCCTTCTTAATTAAAACAGTACCATTGTAGCTTGCCTTTCACTATTTTCCCTTGGAGTCTGCCGGTCTGTTCTCCTAGTTGTAACATGAAAAGGCTGTTCATTACAATGCAGTGTGGTCGTGGCGCACTTTATGAAGTCTATAGGGACTTCTCTCAACGCTAGGCCTTAAACAGACTCTACTCTATGTAGGCGATGAGTCACAATAACGTGGCTGAAGTATGTTGACCAGACCACACACTAGAAGGTGAAGGGACGACGACGTTTCGGTCCGTCATGGACCATTCTCAAGTCGATTGCTACTTGGCAATCGACTTGAAAATGGTCCAGGACGGACCAAAACGTCGTCGTCCCTTCACCTTCTAGTGTGTGGTCTGGTCAACAGACTGTACTCTACATTGAAACCTACTCAGCCTGGTCAGCCCTCTATGATATGGACTGGTCAGCCTGCTCTATGTTCATCCACTACGAAAATGAAACTAAATTTCTGAACGAGTGGAAAGTTTCTGCTTATTTTTCAGAGATCAATGTTTAATGTATTAAAATACTATGAGAACAAATTTGCTTGTATATTCTTTTTAAAGTATTTAGCGAAATTGAAGCCGGTGTCAGTATGGAAATCTTCGTGAATGTGAGTATATGACTGTGGCACGCTATTCCCTCTTGAGTTGTGATGATCCCCGATCTGATCATGTTGGGCACTTACCCCACAAGACTCAGGGTGCAAAGTTTGGTGAAGCTAGTCCAACCTCGGACACATAGACAGGCAGACATTCTAAGTTATGGGTAAGAATCCCCTAAAAATTAAACGAAAATTCCGAACGTTTTCATGTTTCTACTTGATTTATTCCTTGAGAATGTGAAGACAACGGGTTGGGAGTATATACCAAACTTCATTTGAGTAGACAAAGACCCATAAGCCAAAATATCGATTAATGAAAGTGACATGAAGTGAGTGATTATGTGGATATTTACTGGGTTGTTGTTTTAAATTCAGCTACTCTGAACAAAGGTTCTAAGTAGCACGGGCTGTGGTGAGCCCGTAGTGGACTTGCCTGGACTTACCCTTTAGTTAATATCCACTTAACCATCCCATCTTCATGTCACTAGAATGAATCAATAATTTGGCGTAAGGATCTTTGTTTTCTGAGGTGTAGTTGGGTATATAATCCCAAACCCATGTCATTACAGACACGGGAGACATCTCCCGTCACGCAGGGTGCAGTTGCACCTCCACAGATCTTTAGTATCAGCTCTTGATACTGGTAATGGCTCCAAAGGGCCACCACTTACGGGTTATTCATGCCCGTGCCACCTTTTGGGTGGCTTAATCTTCATCAATCGTCCTGGACCACTATCAAGTCCATCGTTCTTAGGGTATGTCTTGGAACTAATTGATTCTTCATACAATTCCAGTAAGATAATTGAGCGAGTTTCTGCCTAGCCATTTCAACATGTTATTGATAAAATTCGTAATTAAATATGAAATTGTAATTTTACTCAATGGTATATATGTCGCTGTCAGCGGCAGGCAGACTGTTCGCTGTAACTGTTTACAGAATACGTGAGTATTGGTGGCAGCCTCGCTGACCTGAGCATCTGTCATTGTACAGCATGCAAACACAGCTACGATAACGACTTTATTACCAAGATAACACTTAACGAGCGTATGAAGTTGGTGCATGACTTGCAGTTACGTCATCAGAGGTGAAGCTTTGTCCATGCAGTCACCCATCTGATTATTGACCAAACCCAATATGTTTAACCTGGTTGATCAAGCAACGCGCGCACATTTGGCACCACGTCAAGGAAATCTTTCAAGTTAACGTGGAACAATCAAACTGCTCGTCACCCCGGGATCCCCTGACTGTGAACATCAACTAAGCCACTCTGATAGTCATTCAAATCACCATCCAATCACAATTGCCAACATAAGGGATATACACCAAGGGGGTGTAACCAAGCTTATATACTTGACAGTTTACTTTAGTTTTGTACTATGTTCATGACTAAAGTATACTTGCTGATTGGCTGTTAAACTATTGTGGTTACCTGAATGACACTCCAAGAGTTGATAGGTCTTAATCCGAGCACGGCGCTGAACGATAGGCTGCCATCAGTACCTGTGGTTCCCGTGGAGGCGCATGTAGCCACTATCCCTCCTCACACGCTAAACCAGTTTTTGTTTAAAGAAAGGTTAGTCTATATATTTATACTATTATGTAATGTGTTATGTATCGTCATACATTCTGTATTTGTTTTTGGTAACTATATGATACTGTTTGAGTATTTTGAGTAGGTATAATGTTGTTGTTGTTATAGATTCAGCTACTCGGAACAAGTACCAAGTAGCACGGGCTATGGTGAGCCCGTAACTTACCTGGCACAGGAGCGGGGCAAGTAGCACGGGCTATGGTGAGCCCGTAACTTACCTGGCACAGGAGCGGGGCAAGTAGCACGGGCTATGGCGAGCCCGTAGTGGACCTACCTGGCACAGGAGCGGTGCTGTGTGTTGTGTTTTGTTGTCAGTGTTTGAGTACGGATATATTTTACTATACCTAAAGTTGGGATAGCCATAAGCAATGTTATTCACACACGTCAGTAAGAGAAGACTACACTACAAGACGTCTTTGTAATCGAGATAAGAAAATTATTAATATATCTTACGGTAAAATTATGCTTGGAACGTTTTAATATATAATATAATATATTTTATATATTATATTTTATATTATTTTATATTTTATATTATATTTTATATTATATATTATATTATCACGCATAGCGTCATTAATCCTAATTTTTACACACACATACGCACATATCCCCCAGGAAGCAGCCCCGTAGCAGGTGTCTAGCTCCCAGATGACTATTTAGTGCTAGGTGAATAGGTACATCAGGGTAAAAGAAACTGCCCATTTGTTTCCGCCTCCGCCGGGGATGGAACCCGGACCTTAGGATTACGAACCCCGAGCGCTGTCCACTTCGTTAGGTCCCCATCTCTTTCCGGATGCTGCTCAACTATCTCACCTCCATTGATTTGATTGATGAAGATTAAGCCACCCAAGAGGTGGCACGGGCATGAATAGCCCGTAAGTGGTGGCCCTTTTGAGCCATTACCAGTATCAAGAGCTGATACTGGAGATCTGTGGAGGTGCGACTGCACCCTGCGTGACGGGAGATGTCTCCCGTGCGATCTCACCCCAGGCACCAGCACCACCTGTATACTGTAATGTCACACTTGTTACACTAGATAGAAAGTGACAATATTTGTATATTTTACACCAGCATATACACTACATGTATATGTTAATAATTGATGATTCAATTTTGTTGAAGACAAGCAGCTTGTGAGTAGAGATTTCCGTTAGTAGTTCGACCTTTCGAGACATCAATACAATCCTAAAGTTTATATATACATGTCCAGGCTTCCTGTCCCCGAATAAGTTTGTTAGTTTAGTTCATTTATTATGCACCCCATACCCCCGAATAAACGAATTAATTGTGTAATGTCAGTTGTCCAATTTTGATAAGAGTATCCTGAAATGTTAATACAGTTTTCTATAGTAACATAATAGAAAACGTATTAGGTATAACTAAATATAATAAGTCTAATGTTGCTTGACTAAATTGTCAAAATAAAATTTTAGGAAAGGAATTACGTGATTCTACTGATCTCTTACCTGACCTCAGAATCGTTAATATGTATAATTAAGTTGAGAGGATGAGTATGGGGTGCAAAATAAACTATCCTTCAGGCGGCAACTATGACTACAATTTGTGCACTTAAGCTTTTTATTAAACCAAAAATATCGCAAGCTAGAAAAATTAAATGATTAGCCAAGTTAAACTATATAACAGAGTTCTGTCAATAAGTGTTTCTACATTCTGAAATAAATTTAGTTAATTTATTATGCACCCCATGGCTAGCTGTGTGTGGTAGTGGAAAGGATTACAGAGGCATATAATGGGCTGAACCACTAGAATTCACACAGCCCCGCTCCTGTGCCAGGTAAGTCCACTACGGGCTCACCATAGCCCGTGCTACTTGGAACTTTTGTTCTGAGTAGCTGAATCTAAAACTACTACCACTAACCAGAATTCATTTAGTTAAGCAAGTTACAGTCTTGATAAGCTAGTTACAAAGTTTGCAGCAGTCGTAGTGTAGTGGTAAGACACTCGCCTGGCGTTCCGCGAGCGCTTTGGTCTGGGTTCGTATCCTGGCCGGGGAGGATTGACTGGGCGCCAATCCTTAACTCAAATCAAATCAAATATTTATTCAGGTAAAGTACATACATACAAGGTGAGATACAAAACAATGATGGATTTATAGATAGAGCTAGTACATATACAATACCTAAAGCCACTATTATGCAAAGCGTTTCGGGCAGGAAAAACACTAAGACTAAAACTAATTGAGAACTAAAACTAATTAAGACTACTAATTGAGATTAAAGTATAAATTGTGTTAAGAAAATAAAAAAAATAAAAAAGGGGGAGGGACATGCAGAAAAATAGCAAATATACAATTTGGTCAACAAAACAGGATTGTTTATAATAGTAGACATGGGTTGACATTTAGGGGTGAGGTAGGTTACATGGAGTTAATTAGGTAGTACTTAGTTTTTATCTTAAACTGGTTGGGAGAGATACAGTCTTTAACATGATTGGGAAGGTCATTCCACATTCGAGGTACCTTGATTTGTAGAGCATTTCTAGTTTGACTAAGTCGTACTCTTAGAATATCAAATAGGTATTTTTTTCTGGTGTGGTGCTTGTAACGGTTCTATTGTTACGTAAAGTATGGTGACAAATAAACACTAAGAACACAAATACACAATAATAAACACAAATAGACACTAAGATACTATATATATATTTGGTCGAATATACAGAAGTACACAGGTGATACTTTGGTGTGAGTTGAGCGCACTGAGCGTCGGTACAGTATCTCGCAAGTGTCTGCTCTAGACCACACTTGAAAGTAGACTAGTTTGCTATTCTGCTGCTTATATGCTCGGGCAACACCTCACCGTGTTGCCCGGGCAACGCCTCACCTCATTCATCTCCAAAGGTTGACAGGAATATTAACAATGCATTTGGAGCGAGTATATTATTGTTCTAGTTCTACTAGGGAGCGAGTTCTACTCGCTACAATTGTATAACTCCCTTTCCATAAAACTCTATTACAAAATCCACTATGCCACTTTTGCCACAAATAAATTCCAATCTAGGAATCTCTTATGACGAAACTGTACTGTGTTCGCTTTAGCCGGGTATACTGTATATAACAGTTAATAATAAATCATTTTGTAGGGGACAGGCAGCCAGTCTATATATACATGTTAGGCTTATACCAAGGTCCCACAAAGATGGAACTATGGAGTAAGACTGGGTGCTGCCGGGGCTGAACTTTATCACCCTTACAAGCACAATTTTTTGTTAAATCTTCACAAGGAAGAACAACTGTAAACGTTGGAATAGTTTATTACAACATACAAGCTAAAGAAACCAGTTCAGAAACTGAGGAAATAATGCTGCCGAAAAAAACATTAAAAAGTTCACTCATGCAGAGTGGTAGACATTCTGGCCAAAACAGGAATTTCACACTGATCTTAATGCTGTTATGTTGATGTGATTATCATAATATAAAGATGTTAAGGCAGGCTGGTTTAGTTCAGTTTTTATGCACCCCTTACCCATCTTGTGGGCATGGGTTCTGTTACAACCTTCTAGGAAGCTTTTAAGGTCAGGATTGACATTACAGTCATCTGCAGCCTCTGTTCACCCAGCAGTGAATGAGGTTGTTAAACGTTGTTGACCAGACCACACACTAGAAGGTGAAGGGACGACGACGTTTCGATTCGTCCTGGACCATTCCCAAGTCGATTGTCTTGAATTAGTTTGTTAAATGATTTGACGAGGTCGTATTTCGTCGACAATTAGGATTACGGACCTGTCGGAAACGCTAAGCGTGCTAGTGGCCTTACAAGAATGTAACAACTCTTGTATATATATTGTCACGGTAATCTCCCTTGGAAGGAGATTAGGCCTGTTCCATCACCACCTGTTCTACCATACCACGTCTGCATATTCAAGAATTCACAGCAAGAATAGCAACTAGTGCTCAGGGGTCTATAGACAGCAGTCTACTGCCCCCCCCCCCCTCTACTCTCCAGTACCCATGACCCCCAGTACACCCGGTGGCCACAAGCTCACGCCACCGGCCGGGAACAAGCACTCTGCTAGTTTGTCTCTCACACCAGAGCCACCTACATTGGTCAAGTCCCATATAAATAGAAGCCGGCCAACCACTACCAGATCTTTATCAACCAATCAATCAAATAGCCAACAGGAGACATCACCCGTCACGCAGGGTGCAGTCGCACCTCCACAGATCTCCAGTATCAGCTCTTGATACTGGTAATGGCTCAAAAGGGCCACCACTTACAGGCTATTCATGCCCGTGCCACCTTTAGAGTGGCTTAATCTTAATCAATCAATCCACCACCAGCAGAATACTCTAGTGCTCTACCTGCTGGACCTACCCTCACACTACCTTGAGTGGTGGTAGATCTAGGCAGCCTGGAATACATACATACACACAATGCCTTAAGCCACTATTACGCAAAGCGCAATCTTATACAGTATTTTCAACGCCATTTATTTCATGTTCTCTAACGTAACGTTAAATTGTCTGTTTTGTTTTGATTGTTTTGCACCCTGTAAGTAAGTCAAGCTTTTAAGGAATTATTTTGTTTAATTTTTCATATTAAAGTATTCAAATGCTTCATTTTTGTTTTATCCTGCATTTCCCACACCGTGAAAAAGTCAACATAGCAGTTTTATTTTAATTTGTTTTCATTTTTTTTGGTTCGTGGCAATCCATCTGCCGTAAATAAATGAAACATGCATAGGGTTTCAGGCAGGTCCTTAATCTAACTCATAAAAGTATTGATTGTAGCAAATGTTGAGTTAAACCTTGGGGGGGGGGAGGTCTCGATATAATTATACTAATGATAATAATAAAAAATTGTAGGGGGGACAGGCTGCCAGCGTGTGTTCATACAAGTTAGGCTTGTATCGAGATCCTCCCCCCCCCCTTTTGGTCGAATTTCTGACTTCGTCCAGAATGCAACCCCACACGAAGCTAACTACTGGGTATCTATTATTTATATTATATATTCTTTCAATCTTGTACAGTCACTAGCACGCATAGCTTTTCGGGTCAGTCCTTAATCCTTATTTTCACACATACACATCCCCATGAAACAGCCCGTAGCAGCTGTCTAACTCCCAGGTACCTATTTACTGCTAGGTGAACAGGGACAAAAGAATTGTGATCAGGGTGAAAGAAACTGACCATTTGTTTCCACCAGGGATCGAACCCGGACCTTTAGGACTACGCACCCCGAGCGCTGTCCACTCAGCCGTCAGGGGGACCTGACAGCTGAGTTTACTGCTAGGTGAACAGGTGCGTGAGGTGACGGGAAACTCGCCCAATAATTTCTGCCCCACCCGGGATTCTCGATCATGAGTCGACAACGGACCTGACTGTACTGTTATGTTATATAAACTTATACACAGTATTGTAAGTTCCTTTTATATAAACTTCTCTTATAATTTTGTAGTTTTATGCTCTAGATAGTTTCCACGTATACAAATGTCTCTGAAAATGAACGAAACTGGAAATGGTGTGATGTGTTAGTGTGGTTTAAGACTCACGTCCACGTTTTCCTACCATACACAAATCGTATATATTCCTAGGGGGCCATAACTCACAATGGCGGAGTAGCAGCAGGCTGTTCCGGGTTCCCAGCCTCCTCCCTCCTCTTGTACTCCCCCCCAACACTGCCTCCATACCCTCACACAAAGGCCGTATCAATAACTGCTACGAAATAATTTCTGTATAAGTGAAGGAGGTTTAATTGTAATATTTGGCTTGGAGGCAACGATATTCATTCTTCCATACGTTTAGAAAATTGCTCATTGGCATCACATTCCCAAAATAGGGAATAGATTAACATTTATAGAGTATACAGTTTTATATATTATAGAAGTGTATTTAGTTGGTATAATTTTTTAAAACAAATATTGTTTTGCTTGTTAATAAAGAAATTAAAACAATGTCTGATTTTATTTTTGAATTCTACAATTCGAGTATGATTGGGTTTAGTTCAGTCTATGATTCCGTATGTAATGGGACGCTGAGTAATATATATATAGTGCCGGCTATCATGTATAAATGTATAAGTCATATATGAGGAAATGTTAATGTATGTAGCAGGATGCGCTAGAGGGCGGTGGCAGCACTGGGGCAGGAGGCAGGAGGAGGAGGCGGCCGCTGGCAACACTGTGCTATTAAACGTATGGATGTCAGCGTCGGCGGCGACTAGCGTCTCCCTCACATATATAACCATCTCGTCTGTAACAGGCAAGGATACCCGCCACCAGTTGTAGCCAGTAGTGTGGGTGGGCGTGTGTGGGCGGGCGTGGGCGGGGAGATAGAGCCGCAGGAGAGAGGGAAATAAGATGACGGGTTTAGGGAGAAGGAGTTCAAGGTGGCGTCGGTGGAGGTGCGCAGGCATCTCTGCGTCTCCTGCTGGCTTCCTGCTGTGGCTGGAAGCATGGTGGGTGCTGTGGCGGCCACCTTGAGGCTGTGGGTGCTGGCAGGTGGTGTCTGGAGGTAGAGGGCGGGGGATTATAGGCGTGGGAGGGAAGATAATGGCCACCAACGCTGCCGTAACAAAGCCATTCGCCGCTCATCATTACTATTACGCCTTTTTCCTCCGGTAATTATTTCCCCTAGTGACGATGAGTGTGGCTGAGGGTGTAAGGCAGGGCCAGGTGGTGGTGCTGGGGGTATGGGGGCGTGTTGTAGGGGCTGGGAGCTGCTACTGACATGCTGGAAGGTGAGATTATAAACTGAGGGTTAATGCCCCCTAGACATTGTTTGATTTTTATTCTGGGATCAAGGTCGACAGCCTTAAGTCTTATCTTAAGTGCTGAGGCACTCATTATCAGAAGACTTAGACTTTGTATAGTAGGGTAATTATTGCCCCTCTCTGTTTTCCTCTGCCTATAGAGATACATAGCACATATTGATATGGGCTATCAATCTGCTGTACGGTGTCTGTTAATCTTGTTTAAATTACCAATTAAGTTGTCAATGTAATCAACCAGAGCTTTAATATACCAATGTGCTTTAATATACTTAATATTCTCTCATCTCATTTTTTTTCTTGCAATGTATCTTATTATTTTATTAATTCTGCTAGAATTTACCTACTTAAAATTACCCGTTAGAGTAAGGACCTGCCCGAAACGCTGTGCGTACTAGTGGCTTTACAAGATTGTAAATACTATGCTATGTATTCTCTCAAACCCAATGTACCTTCTTGTATATAAATAAATAAATTAAATAAATATCTGAGGTCTGCCTAATACAACATGAGATTTGCTGCAGCAATGCTTGATGGGAATGATGCATTCACTGCTATGGTTGATTGCACCTTGATTGCAGTATAATAAATTATTTTGTAGGAATGCCACTTTGTTATATATTAAGTTTGCATTTTGTGGAGCATATTAATGTGTTACCTGATCTAACATAGTCCTGTTTCCTTTAATCATTTCACAAATTTTATACATTATCAGGTACACTGTATGCACCAGACATTTATTATTCATTATTTTAGTACATCGTGAGTACCTGTTGACGACTTTCAGGGATCGGTGTGCCCGCGACAATTAATAATTTTGAGAAATTAATTTGAAATTCATATTTTATGTAATTCTTAAATATTTCAGATGAGAAGTGTTTGCCAACATGGGTGATGGAATGTTATCGTTGTCGTGGAATAACCACCGAGCCACATTTTGTCACATCCTTGCAACACTTAGGGAAAAGGTAAATGATCAAATTGACTTCAATGCTTTAAAAAGTTTCATTTGTATTAAACTATAATTTTTGTACAGTTATAACAGTCGCGACATGACCGCCGGGCCCGGCAGTCGCAATATGACCGTCAGGCCCAGCAGTCAGACATTTTAAAATGCTTACCTATGTGCATGTTACTTATAAATTTTATCACAACCTAATCTAAAGTATGCTCTTTGGTATTCTATATGTAGTACTTACTGCCTTCACAGGTCGGTACAGTATTGTCAGGTTTTTAATTCTTGTTTGACCTTTTGAAATTCATAGCTATTTTAGATGTACTACAGTTAAATAGTAATTTAACTACATTTTTAAACTTTATTAATTCACTGCATTAGTTGAAACATTCAGAAATTATGTAAGCCATGTATACAGTACTGTATTACCAAATAATTCACACAATATATTTCTCTTTCATGTATAGGAGAGATACACAGATGTGACCCTGGCATGCGAGGGCAAGTTTTATCCAGTTCATAAGCTGGTGTTATCAACATGTAGCGAGTACTTTGAAAGTATGTTCGAACAAACGCCTTGTAAACATCCCATTGTAGTGTTGAAAGACGTTAAACCCGAAGAACTTGAAGCTCTGTTGAGCTATATGTACGCTGGTGTAGTGAACGTGGCACAAAATGACTTGGCTAGATTGATAAAAGTGGCTGAATTACTAAAAATAAAGGGACTGGCTGTACCAGATGAGCCACCACCTCAGGAAGTTGAAGCCAAGAAGACACACACGCCTCCGTGGAGTTGCCGCGACGATAGGACGAGTCCTCATCCCAAGAGGAGGAGAAAAGAGAGTGGGACACCTCAGGGGGAAACACAAGCTTCAAACAGTCCTACTTCACCACAAGCCTCGCCTCATCATGTAGAAAGTGACCATAACCAAGACAATTCTAGAACTCCTAGTGAAAGTCATGTTAGTGAACACAGAATAGATGTCTCGGAAAGAATAGAACAGAGACAAGACATGAGTTCAGACCAAAATGTAGACTGTCAAACTAAACAAGGATCACCTCTTCAGGTTTGTTAATACATTTTTTGGGGGCTTTATTTAATTGCCATCTATTAAGTTATTGAACATTAGTTTATTACTGTACTTCCATGATTTTTTGTATTTCCTAACAGAATAACTTAAAGAAATAACATCAGGTATTACACTCAATTTCCATGATAATAGCCACTGAACATTGTTATTGCTGATAGTGGTGTTCACCTAGTTCTCGCCTAATTGTATGTGTAGGGAATGAGCCATGGCTCTTGGGTCTTACCTCTACTCTTAGTTAACTGGTGTATAGGCTCCAGAGCTTATTGGGATCTGTCATATCTACATGTAAAGCTGTGTATGGAATCTGCCTTCACCACTTCTTAGCGCATGCCAATTGTTCACCGACAATGAAAAAATCTTTCTAATGTTTCTGTGGCTCATTTTGGTATTTGGTTTCTACCTGTGTCCCCTGTTAAATATTCTTTACATGTCTGCTCTGAACATTCCCCCAAGTATTTTGTATGTGGCAATCATGTCCCCTGTTTCTTTTCTCTTTCAGTTACTGTAGTCACCTGTAGTCTTTCCTCATAGCTCATCCCTCTCTATGGAACAAGTCTGGTGGCATACCAATGAACTCTAGTTTCATTTTTTGTATTTAAGGGGATAGACTCCATCCACTATGGTGTCACATTCCCAAATTGGGCCGACATAAACAACATACAGTACAAGATCCTGAATAGCTGTTTAAATTCATAAAGGCAGTTCTTATACATGTATATCCATATGCAGCTGATGATATTCTTTTGATTTGGACTACTGGTAACAGGTTGGGGTAATAGCAGGGTCTAAATCTATTTCTTTGTCTAATTCCAATAGGATTTTCTCTTGAATGTTGACCAGACCACACACACTAGAAGGTGAAGGGACGACGACGTTTCGGTCCGTCCTGGACCATTCTCAAGTCGATTGTGGTCTAGGACGGACCGAAACGTCGTAGTCCCTTCACCTTCTAGTGTGTGGTCTGGTCAACATTCTTCAGCACCGTTATTGTGACTCATCGCCTGCACAGGATTTTCTCTCCCTTGTGATACCTTGTCTGGTCTCTGGTTCCCGTACCCAACTTTATTAGTTAGCATTTGCTAGAGGAGCTACTAGTCGCTACTTGAGGGACCATATTTTCATTTTGTCAAGGTCCTCTTTACTCTCATGCAGTATTTCTTTGTATTTATCCTCATAACATTTTCATCATCAGGAAACATTGAGAGGAAGGAATCTATCCCCTCTAGTCCGTTATTCACAGGAAACCTGTCCAAAATATCCTCTTAAAATCAATTTATAACACTTGTCAAGACATGCATTATTCTACCTTGTAAAGATCAGACAAATTATGTGCCAAGAAATATTACAGATTCTGAATTTATAAAAATTTATAAATTGATTTTGGTATCAAAATGTGCAGGAAATGCATTCTTTTGTTTGACCTAATATATGTGTAATTATGGCAATGATTGTAGATGTGTATCGATGTATTGGTGAGATCGGTCTATTGTGCGATATCTGTGACTGTAATTGTTGGCATTTTCTAGATTTTCCACAGTTAGATAATGGAATGATTGACTTCTGACTCATATTAGCAGGCTTAGGGCTCTCCCTCCTACTGCCTTTACCCTACCTGATTTCCCTGGAACGTGATCTGTCAATTTGGTTACATTTGGGTCCCCAATTGTTTGAGTGAGCCTTAGTAAATAGTTAAGGATTGATGACCAGGCAAGGATGAGTTATGAGAAAAATTAAAGGAATTAAAGCTTGTCACTAGAAGACAGAAGTGTTATGGGAGACATGATCACAACACACAAAATTCTCAAGGAAGTTGATGGGGTAGAAAGTTCAGATTTTTGACACACATTGGGTGGCACAAAGAAGGGGTGACAGATGGAAATCGAGTCTCCAAATGAACCACAGAGACTGAAAATCATCTTTTCAGTGCCATAGTAGTGAATAAATAAAATATAAAGTGAAGAGGTTTAGTTAACTGTTAGGTTTGGGAACCTGTACACAAGTTGACGGACAGTTGAGAGGTGACCCTAGCAAGCATATACTACACTACCCAATCATTCTTTCACCCAACCTAAACCCTGCTCATCCCTGCACTCTCATTTGTGGACCCACTTGTTCTCGAACCTTTCATTCGTGACCCATTATGTCCATTGCTAATAAAACCCCATTTCCCATCCACATTTTCCCCACCAACATTTTTGTTTCCACCTTATGGATGGAACACAATTTTAAATGTAACCATGTGCATAATTGACAATTTTTTTATACATAAATATTTGTAAATAGTATATGTATTTCAGCCATATACAATTATGAATAACAATGGAAATACAATGATAGTTACTACTCGCTTATTAATAAATTTAATACACTGAGGTGGTATGGATACAATAGTAGAATGCTTAAGAATAATTTCAATAGTAGAATGCTTAAGAATAATTTCAATGAGAAAGGTGTACAAGGATTAAATAAATACTGTATATATTAGAGGCAGATAACTTTTATCTTCGATGGGAAGAGTGGAACAGTATGTAAAAGAAGGGTGGTGAGAGGGCTCTGAGACCATTAAGGAGTTAAATATATGATAAGGAGCTCCAAGGAGGGTTTACAGATTAGTATACAGACTTAGCATGCAGTTAAGAAGCAGTGTATTTGATGATCTTTATTTTAGTATTTGCATGAAAGCTGTATGAAATTTTTGGGTCAGTTGGATGTTGTCACATTGATTATAATATTTGTTGGACATGGCCGAGTTTTAGAAAATTGTATTAAAAACCAGATGTTTATAATTATATAGTATACAGTATATTTCATAACAAATCTAAAAACTGGATGATGAATGAAGGCTAGTTTTAGGTATATGCATGCACGTTGTTAATGTATATGGTTTTCTATTTCAGGTGATGATAGATGAAACACTAGTCAAAGAGGAGATTGTGGATTCATTAGATGACAGTCGGGATAATATGTTAGACTCTGCATTAGATTATGGTTCGTTAAGTGCCGATTCGAGAGTGGAAAACTCGACTGGTGACAATTCAGCACCAGATCATCACAGTCAAATGTTGCCAAATAAGTATGACCAATCTCTTGTGTCCTCCCAGCCGCATCTGCCGGATGCGGTCGTGGAAGCTCTAGCGGGGCCATCGGGGATGCAAGGGGTGAGTTGTTTGTGTGTTTTCTAGAAATTATGCAAGTAGTTATGAGCTTGCTGCATCTGTATTTTAACCCTTAGACAGCGGTTATTGTTATTCGTTGATTTGCGGGGTATTGCGGTTATCATCATAGAATGATTTAAACCATTATAGTCTGGGATTTTGTGTGTGTGTGTGTGAGATGCAAATATGGATATAATAGCTGTATGTGGATGTAATGGAGTCTACTCTGACCCATGAAAAAATCCTACCATTTCATGGATACGTGTACTAGGATGAGCTTGCTGTTGTGTGTGTGTGTGCGCCACATTGGTGGCTTATGCCTTTCTTTCAATCTATACTCTCACCCAGCAACCCGTTCTTGCAAATTTAATAAGTCAATATTGACTTATTAAATATGTGCATAGGTGACATACTTAACATAATAGATACCCTTAAAAAGATTCATAGAAAACACCGACCTTACCTAACCTTGTTAGTACCTTAAGATAAGCATCTTATTGCTTTGTAATTACAATTATTACCTAACCTATAATAGGTATAGGTTAAGTAATAATTGTAATTACGAAGCAATAAGATGCTTATCTTAAGATACTAACAAGGTTAGGTAAGGTCGGTGTTTTCTATGAATCTTTTAAAGGGTATCTATTATGTTTAGTATATCACCTATGCACGTAGTTAATAAGTCAATATTGACTTTACGAATTTGCAAGAACGGGTTGCACCCAGATGGTGCCAATTAGGCCATTTATGTCATCTCCCAGAGCCCAACACCCTTGTATATTACGTTCACATCCTTCTCACCACTATGGTTGTAATGGAGTATACCAGGTAAACCAATCATTAATTGAATCGTGTATTATTGAAACAGTTGTGTTATGTGAATTATGTGAATTGTCACGTTATTCAACACACATACTCGTGTAAATGAAGAGAAAAAAGTGATAGTCAGTGAAACTGAGACCAACACAAGGAGCATCAAAAGAGTCGGGAACCGGGTGTTGACGGGCGCTAAACACAGCCCGGAGCTGTGTTTAGCATCCTTCGAGAACGCCTCCACCTAGTGAAACGATAAATTCACTTATTTTGGTGTTTTCCTTACATTTTGCTTACAAGTTTATAATTCCATAATAAAAAATTATTTTTTGGAATTGTTTATATTTTTGTGTACATAGGCAGGTATGAGCATTTCTCCATAATCGCTGTCCAAGGATTAATATGTTATAAATGTTTCCATGCCAATGTTTTTATATTGAGACACATACAGTTGTATCTCTTAAGATCTGAACTAATATACCGTATATCATTCTGGACCCTTTCTGGCAATTTTACTTTTGCACATTTAGACCCGATACACTATATAGATGTGCATTATTATTTTATAGTACAGGTACTGGGTCTTATAGTACTGGATCTCTATAAAAAGATCCTTTACTGCCCATATATCGTAGTTAGGGAAACAAACTACTGGGACCACTGGGAAAATGCTGTCAGGTCAGATCCCAAGCCTATACAGTAAAAATATCAGTATATTGGAGCTAGAGATATGATAAAGAATGCAAATTATGTTCAATGAAAATTTTGGGCACCAGAGGCTTGATTAAAAACACTTTAAATTTACTATACATCAGTGATCCATGACTTCAGTTTCCTTCCAACAAATATTGGAAAAATTATTGGAATTACAGTAAAAAAAATTTAAGGTGCCGGAGTCAATTTTACTCTAGAACAGCGTTATTCTGGTGTAGTCCCAAAACTTGGTTCGAAAACATAATAAACAAAATATTTAAAGTTCTATTTTTTAAATCGGTTTCAAATTTAAAAATTTTACTGCAGTCATTTTGATAGTCTTATTGGCTAGACCAGACATAGTTCAATACCTGTGTTACAGGAGATTTTTAATTTTTTTCCTAATACTGTAATAAAAAAAGGAATTATAAATCTTGACATTTTTACTTTTTTTTTATCCTAAAAATTCTATCTTCATAAAAAAAGTTTTTCAGAAAAGCTGTGAACCAAATGTAAAGCATGCCAAGCTTTGTATTGTGTGAGAAGCTCATCAAAATTAGATAAAAACTAAGGAAAGTGGAACCAAAAACTAAAGGTGGTATTTTGAGATTTGAATTTTTTCCCCAAGAAATGCATCATCACAAATATAGAACAATATCTGTTTTAGTTATGTAATAATTTATAAATACAATGACTTGTATTTAGTTAATAACCCCTCATTACAATATTTTCTTGTGACTACAAAAAATGAAAATACAAACTACTTGGGTGACTAATTTCTTTTAAATAAAGCTCAAACTAGCTAAAAATTTAGGCTTTACTAGATTTTTATTTTTATTAGATAGATTTTTTTACTGGCAAATACAAAACAAATTGGCAAAAAAAAAAAAATACTGAACTTACTCTTGGGGCCCCATAAGAGTGTGACAAGTTGCTGCTGAAGATACCAGATCTGCCTGGCTGTGTTGGCTGTAGAGACCTGTGGGCTGCATAGACACTCGGCCTCATGAACTAGACAATCGCCAAGGAAGACTGGTTGTGGCAAAACAGTTTCTTATCTTCCACTCTTGGTTTAGGTCCCCTAGTGGTTGCAGATTGTGGAACTGCGGGCACTGTTGGAGCTGAGATTATTGGAAACTGTATGAGGGGCCCCCGCCGTAGAGAATTTGAGGGAGGCTGAAACTAATTTTCCTTGCTTCCATCCCATGTATTCTTGGGACACACACCTTGCTGAATTTCTGGGGGCTTCCCTTGTTGAAGCCTATGCCTATTTCTTCTTCAAATGGGTCATAAAGCTCTGGGAAGAGCTAGAGGTTATGGTCCCCATTCCTCCGCTGGTGTAGCAGGAGTTTAGTTCCTGTTCTGGGAGGTTTGTTGCTTGGGAAGATGATACCCGTGTGTTTCAGGCCTTTTCTCGGGGAGCTTTTCCTTCATGACGGTAAACTGTTCTGTTTGCCATTCCCCTTGTTCCTATCAGGTCATGACAGCTCGACACCCAGGTGCTCGACATCCAATCATTTGCCATTGATTGCAGAGGTTTCTGTTCTTGTGTGGAGGCATGCCATCTTCTCAAAGCCGTTATTAGCTGATCTTGGGTCCTCATCTGTGGATTCGTCAACCTTACTGTCTGCTTGTGACAGCTGCAAGTGTAGTTTCCAAGGTGTTCACACTTCTCCCTGAGGTCACAGCAGCAAACATCTATGCGGCTCACCATACCCACTGCCTTGCCATTAATGATTCTCCAGGAGCTCACTGGTTGCTTTCCCTCCTGTTCACTACCCCATTCATTTTTTGTTGGACAAGGGTGTACTCGTGGGACCCAATCCTTAACAAAGGGTGTCCTACTTTTTTCAAATTCCCAAGCAGGGGATAGCCTTGTGTTTCACTTTATCCTGTACCTGTCAGTTTTTAATGGTTTGCATCACTTGTAACATACTCTCTGACTATTGTATCCCAGGTTTGCCATTGGGTTTTGAGCAACTCGTGGCTCATTTTCCAGGTTTCTCGGGATTCCCGCTGAAATGTTCCCATCCAACTGGTTATCTGGGAATGGGGGACATATTGTACTGTACTGCTTTTGGGATTTCCCATCTGGCTCCGAGAATGTTCACCAGACTTACAGTAACTTGTGTGGTCCTTCAGCAGCTTTGTTCAGGGGATAAGAGTCAAAAAGGCAAACCTTTGTAGAAGTCTCGCCTTCTCATCCTGAGGCGTTCCCTCTCCCCGAGGATCAGCAGCACAAACTATCTAGATGGTTAGAGGCTCTCCACCAATCTTCACATACAGTATGGTGTGTCTAGACCTTTTGTAGCACCTGTACGGGAGCTGGGTGGCAGACCTGTTAGTTTTGCATTTGCAACCCTTTGAGGTTGCAGTATGAAATTGCTTTGTGCACTTTCTGCCTTTCTCTCTTCGGCGACTGTCCTGTGTTATGCCTTTTCTTCTGCTAGTTCTTTGATTGCCAGTTGATGCCTAGTGCTGTAACCTCATATTGTTTGTACCGTTTGGCCGTGGTGAAAAGTTATCACCAAAGTTCAGCCAGGAAAATAGTCACTGAAAAGCTGGCAAATGAGAACACATGAACAAGGAAAAAAAAATAAAAATTAGGGAAAGAATTGGATTAAATAATTATCTACTGGTTAGGACAAATGGCAGAGCCAAGCGAGAGATGAGACTGAATTAGAAAAGTTGGAAGAAGAGTTATGCAAACTTCACGCCAAAGAGGCAGTTATTTATGTTAAATAATGTCAGAAAAGATGTAAGAACTTAGAGGATAAATTTAAAAGTGAGTTACTGTTACCAAGAATCCTGACAAGATGCAAAAAGAGATTCATAGTACACAATACCATGTATGTAAAGTGACTTGAATATAGAGTACAGTACTTTAATAGAGAAAAGAAAACAGGGCAGATTGGGGCAGGAACACTCCTCACTTGCCGGCAGCCTTGAGCAAAAATGTTAAAGAAATGATACGACAGGCGCAAGAGATGAGATGAATACAGTACAATAATATCGTCCAGTATGGCACACAGCTACAATCGGATACTAGCGCACAGATTGTAATAAGCCAGTGCATAACTTCTCCAAAGCCCCTCTCTTCAGCCAAACCAAACAGCTTCAAAAAACCATCTGCTTCATCACATCCTGATATTTATCTAATTTTTTTTTAAATCGTTGAATAATTAAATCATCGAAATCAAGTATACTGTACACAAATTGTTAATCATGTTTATTTGAAAAGCATGTGTGGTTCACCCTATAAATTTACTTCATCACTCATTTAACACATCTCGGTTAACCATCCTCAATACTGCACCGGATACATTATTTTCACAAAAATTGCTGTAAATGAATTGAATTGAATTTGAACCTGTGTACTTAGTGGATACCATATTGAATATAGTGAGTGAGTGAGTGTAACATGTATGTCTTAAGCCTTTTTGATGAGTAAAGGAATTGCCTATTTCAAAATCATTTCTCTTTGTCTCACCAGTGGCTTGGGGGTAATGAGCTAAGTGGAGGGTTTTCAGCAGTGGACAGCTACAGTGGGGAAGGGAGACATCAGGACTTGCGACAATCTCTCCCCGGCCAGCAGCCTCAAGGACACCAACTGGTGAGTGTTGTTATTCCGTTTTTACTGAAAAGGAGCCACCTCGTACCTTGTGTTCCCATGCACTATAATTGGTTGACTTGTACTGTAGTTAATGGCAGCAATGTCATCCCCCACATTGTTGATACAAACGTTTTCCAATAGCTGCATTGTGGTAACAGAAATTGTTTTTCATACTATTTTAATACTTTATTTTTGCTAAAGATTCTAAAATGTTCAGAATATAGTTGGCAGAGTAGAATCTCCAAATCGAGAAATTTTTTTTTTTTTTTTTCTTGCCGTCATGTTGTAAATAATTTTAAACACAACAGTTAGTGTATATTGGCTTTATTCTGTGGTTTTTATTAGAGCTTTCAATATAGTGTTAGTTGATCAGTTGAGTGGTTATTGCGTTCATTAACATTAACGTGCTTTTATTTCATGAAGACCACATTGGAACTTGTGAACATTTAGAACACAACACAATATTCTGAACATATTTGCATCCTGCATACATACTTATTTTGATCATTTTTCTGTAATTTTGGCAATATGTATGAGTAATGAAGAGCATAAAATATATAAAGTACTGTATACATAATTTATGAAGTGGCAGGTAAATAAATAAAAGTTTGAGATGGTTAAAAACATCGGTTAAAGAAAATTCTGACAATGAATATCTCATTTTGTCAAGATTTGTGAAGGTTACATGATCTTGTGAGCTTACTGCTATATTAACCATACAGTGATTGGTATGAATTTGTCATCTGTTCTAACTGCATCATACTGAACCATGCATTAAACAACACGATGCGAGGCCATGTCCTTCCTCTTAAATTAGCGCATATATGTGGGAGAGTGCATATATGCAAGAGTGCATATGTGGGAGAGTGCATATGTGCGAGAGTGAATGCTGTTATCAATAAAAAAGTTTGTGGTGATTGGCTGTCTGTTGGCTCGGGAATTAACTGTAGTTGTGAAATATATCCAGGATGAGGCAGTATGTGAAAGTATGGAAAAAATGATGGACTAGATCACTAGGGTCAATAGGTTTTGTTCAGTGTCTTCAATTCTTATTTTATTATTAACTCATTTCCAATGTTCATGGTGTAGGGAGGCATCAGCCTGGAGGAAATTAGGAAGTTTAGTTCAATTAGGAAGATGTAATTATACATTATTGTAAGGTACGGGATTGAAAGCTGTACCCTAAAGTATCGTTAACAACACCCGCTCTTACTTTCTTATAAATAATGGAAGTGCAGGGGTCTATATAGTAATAATCACCAGTTCTAACTACATGGGACAAGAAATACACCTTGGGGTACAATGTTACAAAAAGGTTTTTATTTAACAAATGCCAGATTTCCTCACACTTCTTAGAATGGGGGGGGGGTTGTACTTTGATCCACCAGAGGATTGATACAGATATACAGACAAAAAAGGAGGGGGGAGGTTCCTTCTCCCTCTACAACCTGGGACTTAAGATTATTACTCTATTCCACTCCTCTTAGGTCACTACAAAGGGTCTGGGTTTTAACAATACACTACTCTATCCACAATACACAAATGGATATACAAAATAAATATGGATAACCCCCATGTGACACACAGCTGAGCACATACACCTGAATTAACAACACACCACTTTCCCTACACACAGGGTTCCAAAATCCTTATTTCCACAAATTCCTATCTCTAACTCATAAAGAAAAGGGGAAGCACCGCTATAAACATCTATAAAACTGCACTTACCGTATTTGTTGGAGACCATCCACAACACTGGTCTTGTTCTCACTGCCTCCCTCTCGCAAGTGACTGATAGGGGCTTGCACATGCCCCTGCCTGCCTAGTTCCAATATTGTCCCCTCCCTATACATGTCATACACCTTTCCCAATACTTCATTTATATGTCTTATAATGTTCCAGGCTGTTTTTCTACATTTAACACTGTTATTTCTCTATATTTTCTTGCATTGAATCTTTTTTTTACCATTTTATCCCTTTTGTTTACATTGGTTTTTAGGATATTATATTTTCCTGTTGAGATGATGCTCTATGCATCTGAAGGGGGTCAGTTCCAGACTGTTTTTCAACATTTAACACTGCTACTTCTCCCTACACAAGGGGGTCTCTCTCAATAGCACTGCTATTTCTCCCTACACAAGGGTCTCCCTCTTACATTATCTGTTGTAACATCTTGGTCATTGAATAAGATAAGAGGACCATTTTAAAGAATAGAGGAAAGGTTTGGTACTGTTCTGAAAAATATTAATTGGTAGGCCTTTCCATTCCACCTCTTTTTCTGTATATGACTGGCATATAACTCAAATATATAGTTAATGGGTCAGAGATTTCTATTACACTCAGTTATGTTTTAAATGCATTACACATAGATGTTAATAATTAGTTAAATCTCTCTCCCTCCCTTCCTTGCAATATTATTAATAATAATAAGGTCATATGGAAAATTTATTGTCAGTTGGATACCCCTACATTTATTAAATTGTCCTTTATGGGGTTTGAACAGGTTAGATACATTGTAAGGAAAACTTGATACCTTAAAATAGAGTACCTAATAGTAAATACATTTTGATAATTTATAATGGTGGATCATAATTATGGAAAACTTGCCAATGTAAAACTTGATGGGTTTGAAATTTTTTAAATAGCTGATTAAATTAATAGTTAAGGTGTGAGGCCCAAGAGCTGAAGTTTTGTCCCTGCACGTGCGCGCGCACACTAAAGAAAAAAAATTTGTGAAATAAGCAACAAGACTGCTGGTACCAGATGGAGGGACTATACTTACGGACGTTGGATCAATGGGGACTGTTAAAGATAACGGATGCTTATAATCCTGGAAGGAAGACCCACCTGAAACATGGCTCGGATGTGTAAAATTCTAAAGAGTACAGTATAGATAAAGGCAGACGAGCATAAATCTTCCCAACAGAGAGAAACAAAAGCAGCTCGCCTCGGGAAACAGGAAAAGCAGATGAACTGCAGAGATGCGGGAAAGTACTCATTGTGTATGCATGTAAAGGATAGACATAATGTAATTGTAGTTGAGTGGAAATTATACACTGCTTTAAAAAGCACAAATATCAAAATCATGAGAAATTAATCATGGTATCTTGAGATTATCTTGGGTATAGCTTGACCAGATAACCTAATAGAGATGAAGCAGAACTATTAGAGATTCCCGTAGACACTATTAGGTAGGAATAGCTTCACACAACACTCAAATGAGATATTAACAAAAAAGCAAAACTAATACAGTATTAACTGAAGTTCATACACCATTAAACCAGATGCAAGAAGTGACTTACGCTCCAAGGAATATAATAAGGTAAGAAAATACAGTAGAAACAATTTGAAAGAATTTGGGTTTATCTTGAGTTTTATACATGCTATATACAGTATTTTTTAATACTTAATATGTATGTATGTTGTACCTAGTAGCCAGAAGGCAGTACTCGGCCAATTATGCAAGCCCCAATTTGCCTAATCATCCAAGTTTTCCTGAATCTATATATTTTTCAAATTTTTTTTTAATGAAATGATAACACTATCCATTTCATTATGTATTAATTCATTTTTGCTAATTTGATGTTAAAACTGGAGTAGATATATGAACGAACCTAACCAACCCTACCTAACCTAACCTAACCTATGTTAACCTAACCTATGTTAACCTAACCTGCTACCTGCTTGATGGGGTTCTGGGAGTTGTTCTACTCCCCAAGCCCGGCCCGAGGCCAGGCTCAAAGTATAACCTAACCTAAACTAACATAACTATGTAAATAATTTATGTTCTTAAAATAATATAATAATATTTAAAATAAACCAATTTGAAACTATTTTTAAAATAAAGAAAATCACTTGGCTTATTAGGCAAATCGGGCCTTGCATAATAGGCTGAGAAGTGCATTCTAGCTACTAGGTACGACACATATAAATATAAGTAAGGTTTACTCTTCTTTACATTGTTCTGGGCACTTACTGCTCAGTTCAACCACGACTCTTAGTTCAATATGCTTGGGAACACAAGGTTTCAATTTTTCTATTTGCATCCTTTTTTTTTTTTAGGCTAGAGTAAATATTTTATAGGTAACATTTTGTATTTTGCCTCATTTTTTTTAGGTTTGCTTGTTTTATAAAACAAAGTAGCAATGTTTCACTGTAGGTATTAATGTATCCTTTCCCCAGTGTTCCCTCAGCTTTCGACGAATATGGTGGAACTTGTACATGAGCTTTTCTGGACGAGCCCTCAGTGGCTACGTGATGCCATCTCGCCGAGATGGCTCCCCCACATTTAATCACATCAGCCATAGGATTCTTGTATTGGTCTGTGGGAGGCCAGAGCCTTGCCCCCCCATCACAGAGGTACAAGTAGCAGGGGAATGTTACAATTATCCTCACTGAGAAGTCATCCAGAAAGTAAGCGAAACAATACAGACAACTTGCCGATTCACCGAAAATGAAACACTGAAGCAGTCAAATGACACTGCAAATGATTCACTCAGAAACGAGCTCAAACCTCCTCTAGCTACGAATGGCCACCAACAGGTGACAGCAACCCGGGAGTTCCTGGCTACCTCTCCATCTTTGCCAGTCCTTTCACTGATGTTTGTGGATACAGACAGCGGGGTGGGTGGGGTGCCTCTCTTTGAGGCACCCATAAATTCTTCAACTTCTCTGCTCCATCACGGCCAAAGTATGTTCTATGATTTTTTTTTTTTTTTTTTTTACTTTCCCATGATCAGAGAACACATTTCATTTTAACAATGGAAAGGAAACAAATTTTTTGGAAACGGTTGTTTTCTTGCACACCATGGGAGGGTCTCCTGTGAAAGCCGTACAGTACAGTACAGTTTTTTTTTTTTTTTTTTTTCCCCTATTACTATCTCCTTCGGTGGTTATAATAGGAGCTGCCTCGTATGGGCCAATAGGCCTGCTGCAGTTCTCATTACTACTATCCCCTACACCTGACTTTCCTCCTCAGCTCTCTCTTGCCTATTTATTGC